AAGAAGAAGAAGAAGAAGAAGAGAAGAAGAAGAAGAAGGAAAAGAAAGAAGAAGAAGAAGAAGAAGGAAAAGAAAGAAGAAGAAGAAGAAGAAGAAGGAAAAGAAAGAAGAAGAAGAAGAAGAAGAAGAAGAAGGAAAAGAAAGAAGAAGAAGAAGAAGAAGGAAAAGAAAGAAGAAGAAGGAAAAGAAAGAAGAAGGAAAAGAAGGAAAAGAAAGAAGAAGAAGAAGAAGAAGAAGGAAAAGAAAGAAGAAGAAGAAGAAGAAGAAGAAGGAAAAGAAAGAAGAAGAAGGAAAAGAAGGAAAAGAAAGAAGAAGAAGAAGAAGGAAAAGAAAGAAGAAGAAGGAAAAGAAAGAAGAAGAAGGAAAAGAAGGAAAAGAAAGAAGAAGAAGAAGAAGAAGGAAAAGAAAGAAGAAGGAAAAGAAGGAAAAGAAAGAAGAAGAAGAAGAAGAAGGAAAAGAAAGAAGAAGAAGAAAAGAAGAAAAAAGAAGAAGAAGAAGAAGAAGAAGGAAAAGAAAGAAGAAGAAGGAAAAGAAGGAAAAGAAAGAAGAAGAAGAAGAAGAAGGAAAAGAAAGAAGAAGAAGGAAAAGAAGAAGAAGAAGAAGAAGAAGGAAAAGAAAGAAGAAGAAGGAAAAGAAAGAAGAAGAAGAAGAAAGCTCAGGACCTAACTTGAGTACACACGCATACAAAGAAATTTTTTCAGCAAAAGGGACTGAGGAGTGTATCAACAAGATGGAAGAGAATCATAACAACATCTTGAAAACCTAAAGAAGAGAGAGTATCCAGGAGGAAGAAATGTCTAGCTGTGTAAAATGGTTCAAAAAGGTCAAGAAGAATAAGCAATATTTTAAAAGGGTCATTGGATTTGGCAAATAAGAGAATACTGGTTACTTTGGAGAGATTAGGATGAGATTGGAAGCCAGATTGCAAGGAACTGAGAAATTGAGTGCGAGGTGAAAAATGTAGTTGTAACAAGTATAAACAGCTTTTTCTAGGAGTTTGTTGAAAAGGAGGAGAGATATGATGGTAGCTTGATAATATAGGATCAAATGATTTTTTTAAAGAATGGAAGAGATATGGTTATTCTTGAAGAAAACAGAAAAGGATTTAGTGTGTAAGGAGAGGGTAAAACTTAATGATTAACATAAGAAGCTAGAAGAAATAAGATCTTAGAGGATTCAAGAAGAGATTGAATCAAGAACATGAATAGAAGGGTTGGTATTTACACCCTTTGGTATTTTTATATTTAATTAATTCAGCAAAGATTGAGCTCTACCCCAAAAAGATCAAAGAAGGAAAAGGGCCTATATATACAAAACTAAATTATAGAAGCTCTTTTTTGTGGTGGCCAAAAATTAGAAAGTGATGGGATTTCCAACAGTTGAGGAAAGGCCAAACAAATTATGGTATATGATTGTGGTGGAATACTATTGTGCTATAAGAAATGATGAAGAAGATGGTCTCAGAAAATCCTGGGAAGACTTATATGAACTGATGCAAAATGAAGTGAGCAGAATTAAGGAAAACATAGTACATAGTAACAAGAATATTTTAAAAATTAAAAAATAAAACTGTGAAAGCCTTAGTAATTGATCAATACAATGACTCACCAGAACTCCAAAGGGCTCATGATAAAAAATGCTATCCACCTCCACACAGAGAAATGATAGATTCAAAATGCAGATTGAATCATATGGTTGTTTTCTTTATTTTTCTTGCTTTTTTCTTCTGGAACATGGCTAATGTGGAAATATGTTTTGTATGATTTCATATGCATAATGGGCATCATGTTTCTTGCCTTATCAATGGGTATGGAAGGTAAAAGGAAGAAGAGGATTTGGAACTGAAAATTAAACTAAAAAAATTTAAAAAAAAATTTTATAGATAATTTTAAAATAGTTGTGCTCCAGGTAAGCCAAATATACTTTGATATTCCAGTAACCATGATTCCATCAGTTCAGGTAATCTCACCACTTATGAAGATTAGAATCCCACAATAATTTAATAGGTGTTCTTTCAGATTTGCTATGGTAAAAATATCCTTCAACGTTGTTGCCTGATGATGAACTTCTGAATCAAATAGCCAACTAACAAATATGTATTAAGTGCCCTACTATGTGTCAGGAACTAGGCTAGGTGCTCTCTTAACCTTCTTGGACAACAAACATACAGAATGCAACCAGACTCATAATTGCAGCTTATCTGGATTGGTAGATACCACCAGAGCTTTTACTACTTTGCCATAAACTCTGAGAATCCAGAGTTACCTCCACGCCATGATCAAGCACCAGAGACAGACATTAATGAAGGAAAGCAAAAGACCTTTGCAAAGAGAAATGAAACCATTTCAAATAGACTATTTTTCCAAACCCATGATCTTCCATTTTTTTACTTTTCTTTTGATGGAAAATAGGGATGTGCCCAAGGGGAAAATGGCATTAAAACAGGATTAGGATTAGCTTGGGGAGCAAAATTCTTGGAAAGAAAAAAAAATCTTCTCTTCCAGAATCATGAATCTTGTAAAATCTGTATAGTGTGAGTTATAATGTATCAAAATGTTTTCACTGCGTTTGGATTACGTTGGACTTCAAATGCATTCTGTGCATTTTGTATGAAAATGAGACTTTGGTTTCTGCATAGGTTTTTTGGTGTGAAATCCCAGCTGTGTGTGTGGAAACCCCTTTTAGCAGACTTCTCCCCTAAAGTTTTCATCATGGCATGGAGAGGACCCTGGACAGGCACAGGCTATATCTCAGTGCTCAAGCTGAAAAAGCTCCTGGTTAGGGCAGCCAATGATAAGCCTAGAGTAATTTCAGAGAGGTGAATTCTCTAGCCATGCAACTGCTGCCATATGGAGGGAGAGACCACACTAATAAAATTCAATTCTTTTGAAATATCAACGTGTATTGACTTTTTACTACATAGTCTGGGTCACAGTTCCTTAAGGCACATTTCTTTTAAATGTTGGATGGTAGGTGTGGAACAAAAATCATTCTTTTTCAATCATGATACTCTGATATCCTTATTATAAGGCATTCTACCAGGGAACAGATCAGGTAAATGTTCTTTTCTTTAGCTTAGGTATCAAATGTCTGAGTTAAATGAAATCTCTCTAAGAGAAAACTATTCTTAATCTTAAGTATTTTTCCTTTCTTGTTCTGTAATCAGTATAATTATTCTTACAAATGTTTAACACTTATATGTAACTTTGTATTTATGTATTAGCCATTTTTTAAAATAATCTAACTACCTATCTCCATTTGAAAGCATTTAAGAACAGGGTTTGATGATTTCTATTTCAGGGTTTAGTAGTTTCTAAGAGATGGTTTGCCTAAAGTAAGATTATTTTTGTCTTTTGATTGCTCTGGTTTTGTTGAGCTGTTCTCATGTGAGTGAACTTAATTACTGGTGGAGTAGGGTTTGAAAGTGACCAATAAAGAATTCATTGAATACCAAGCAGCCTTGGGAATAGCCAGGAATTAGACCTCCCATGCAGAAGTGTCAAATGGTTTGGGGATCTGAACAGTGAATTCCTCATCTGGGTTCACTAGTTTTGAATGAACACAGAGCATAATACCATGACTTTGAAGTTAAAAACAACAACAACAACAATTTATCATTGTACTAGGTCTACAGTGATTACTTTTATCATTAGAATAAAAACAACAATAAGCATTAATGCAGCCCCTTAAAGTTTGCCAAAAGCTTTGCTTATTATTATCTCATTTGATCCTCAAATGAACCTGTGAGGTAGATGAGATAGTTATTGTTACATCTATTTGAGTGACTGAAGAAATTGAGGATCAGACAAGTTAAATGATTTGCTCCCATAAATATTAAACCAGATGTGAGATTTGAACTTAGGTCTTCTGCACTATCTATTCTATTCTTCTATCTGCCTGTTACATTCTTCCCTTTCCTTACTTCTCTGTTCCCATGTCTACTATCAACAGAAAATCTTAAGATAAGGCCTTTCAGTCTTTTTAGGGTAAGGGTTGAAAGTAACCTAAGGTTAAAGTAACATAAGACATAATGCATCTTATAAAATTTTTATGAATAAGCCCTACAAATGTTTTACTTAAGGGGAAAAGAGAACACAGTGACATTGTTTAAAATGATTCTCCCTGAGGACATAGAATCATGTATGGGTAAGGGTATAACAAGCCTATTTAATGAAAATGTGATGACAGTTTGTGTAGGCAAACCATTCCTGAATCTTTAAGTTAGGAGGAAAGCTGTTGGGATTTTAAACATGACTATACTGAAAATCAGAACTGGATTTCAAAGTGGAAAGACAGAGTTCAGAAGAATATCATATAAAATTGTTTATATCATTTATAAATCATATGAGAACCAAAATTTTAATTAAATCTTGATTAGGACCTATTGTACCACACTAGATAGCCAAGACCATTATCGACTCATTCAAGCTATTTTTATCTTAATTATCTTCATAACCTTACATTAAGCTTTTATTTTTCTTTGATTACAATACATGATAACTACAATGCATGGTAGTACATATGGGTAAACACATTCTAGACTTGGAGTCAGAAAGGCATGAGCTCAAATCCAGCCCCAAATGCTGACTAAATCTCTTTAAATATTACCTGTTTTGCAGTCATGACATTCAGATAATCCATTAGCTCATAAATTTTCTGTCTTGGATCTCTTTTCCAAGTAATTTGTTTTTGCTTTGTGATAACCTTACTTCTTTTTTTAATTTCAGCCTTTTGACTTTGTTTTAATATTTCTTTTTGCCTCATGAAGTCATTAGCTTCTATTTGTTCCATTTTAATTTTCAAAGTGTTTGTTGCTTGGATAGGTTTTTTTTTCTTTTTCTTTTTTCTTAGCTCTTGTGCCAAGCTGTTAACTACCTTTCCAGTTATTTCTTCAATTACTCTCATTTCTTTTCTATTTCCCCCTGAAGCTCTCATTGTCCATTCATAAAGATATTTTTAAACTCTTGCTTCATATCTTCTAGGAATTCTAGTTTTTAATGCCCAACCTGTGTTTTTCTCTGAGACAATAGTTGTAGATGTTTTGGAATCATTCTCTTCAGCATTTGTTGTCTTGAGCAACCTTGCCATAATTAAGGTAGGATACTTTTGTTTTCTTTGTTTGTAAATTCTTTCAGGCTGCTGACTTCAGACTTGGTGTTCAGGTTACTCTGTTCCCTTCTGGAGGGAATGTTCGGACTGGTCCTGTTGCTGCTTGCCTTCTTGGAGTATTAAGTGTCTCAGTATCTCAAGAAGATGCTGGGGACATGCAAACTTTCAGTGCTCCTAAGGGGGTTGGATCCAGGGCAAATTCTGATTGTTATTCCTTTGGTCTGAACTCGGAAATTTCTTCACCTGGGTTTGGGTCTAAACAAGAGAAGAATCGGCTTTTATCAGTCAACTCTGTTGGCTCAGAGTAGCAGGATTGTAGACTCTCCTTTGGTCTGGGATTCTTACCTGTGTTATTCCTTTGCATGTTGTACTAGATGTTGGAAATGAGACCCTGCTTCACACCTAAAATCAGAGCCACACCACTGCTGCTACTGTTGCTGTCTTCTGAGCTCTTCCTTTCTCAGTAGGCTACCTAAGGCCTCCCTGCCTTTGAATTCCATTCACAGGCCTTTTTTTCCTTTTTTCTTCATAGTGAATAACATATTTTCCTGTATGCCTATTCTGTATTTATATTTCTTTGTATTTTTGTATAAGTCCCCATGGGCAGGAACTAGATTTTTTTCAGATTAGTTTTTATTTGCTGCCAAGACCTAATGGGCATATAGAAACTATTATTGGCTAATACTGCTTTACTAGAATTAAGGGACCCTCCTTGAAGTTTGAAGAGGGCAGTTGTAGGTCATCTAACAGGAAATCTTTGCAGAATGGGTAGGTTCCATATGGAACTTATTTTTCTGAGAAACTTTAAAAGCCAAAAATACTCACATGGTGGAGATATACCTAGGATAGAGCCATAATGGGTCTCAAAAGCTGTGAGGAAGGAGTAATAAGCTACATAATATATTTTGTTGTCATTGTCTGAGATGGAATAAGAGATTTAGTTGACCATTGCTTGATCAATTCTCATTGGGCTAATATTTAAGTAAGGAAGTGGACTCCCAGGAGAATCTCAAGTGAATTCTGAGGGAAACATAGTGATTAAAGCAGTATTTGGTAATGGCACTAGAGAAAGGTTTGGCTACATGCATGAGGTAAATGGTTCTTTTCCACACCTAAACTGTCTACATGACAGTTGAAACTTTGACATCTACTACAATACCAATGTGCGACCAAAAAATCCAAATGGCTGTTTGGAAGCAACATGAAGGTGGGATGAGGGCAAAGTAGGGCAGAAAAGGCAAGGCAACACACATTGCATACCTACTATGTGCCAGGAAGTGTGTTAAGATCTGGGGATAGAAATATAAGCAAAAAGAAAGACAGTCTTCATCTTTAAGAAACTTAAATTATAATAAGGAAGACATATGGAAAGGAGCTAAAAAAAACAGGGAATGCAGGGATGGGAGGAGATGAAGTTACTCATGAAGGGGTATAATTTTGAAGTCCAGTAAATTACAAGAAATGTTTGAAAAGGAATGAAGTTTGGCTTACCTATGCCATTTCACAAAATGGAGAATTCAAAAGGAACTCATCTCTGGGAGAAAGGAGTCAGTCAAGTGCAGAAATATTCCAGAGAGAGAGGGCTGCAGGGATGGTTTGGTATTCCAAAGCAAGGAAACTGTAGATGCTGAGAGAAGTCCCAGATAGAATCTGGGAAATGATTTTAATGTCTGGAAAACAGGAGCAGAAACAGAAAGGCAATCAAAGGACTTGGAAAGGGGGAATATCTGATCACTGATGTTCTTTTTTTTTTCATAATGGAGGCTAATGATATACTTTTCAGTTTTGCTATAGATGTGACAAAACAAAAGATCATCCATAATACTTGGAATCATATATTTAAGGCTGGAAAGTATCTTAGAGGTCATTTTATCTAACTTCATTTTATAGATAAAGAAACTGAAGCAGATAGATATTAAATAACTTACCCAAAGTTATACAGCTAGCTTATTTTAAATATTTCCTGGTGGCCAAGGTAGTTCTTAAGATAGCAAGTTTTCCCCCTTTTACAAGTTTGAAGTAAAAAAATAAAAAGGAAGTGCTCAGTCATTTTCCTGGAAATGGTTTGTTATACAAAGGGATGGATTTTCCTTACTCTTTCCTTGATAGGAATTGTTGTTTTTCATGTAGGCATAAAGTATATTTGATATCATAAAACCATAGTGACGATGGTGAATCTAAATGATGGACTGGGATGGGGAGAGATAACTATGAAGTAATAAAATGAATTAAATCATTTACTGAAGCAGAGATATCTGCAATCAATAAATGAGAAATAACTGTTGGTCTCCTTGAAATAGGAAACAGAAACATAATAGGTGGTCCAAAAGGTGGTTATGAACTTTGAAACAGTGAGAGATATGGAGTATGGTCACTACAGAGTAAAGCTAGTCTGGCTTCAACAGAAAATGGCAGCCTCCAACATCCAGATCCAAGTGAAAATGGTAGAACTAAGGATAGAATAGTCTTTATTCATAGCTATTGAATGAAAGAGAATATCAAGGAATGAATCAGATTTGAATGCAAGACTTCTAAGGATCTTGAGTCTAAAGTGGAATAAGAAATGTGTTTTGTCAACTCATCCTTTTATGTACTTCCTTATTTGTTGTCTTTTCTCTTAATTTTCAAGCAAAAGTTCCTTTTGAAAAGTTTAAATCTTCTATCTGATGAACTAAGAAGAAATGATATTTTCACACTTCCATCAAGGAAAGGTATTGAGAACTGTGCATCCCTGCTGGTGAGGAGGAGGAGTTGTAGCAGCCATGCTGAGCCCTTCCCTTCTGGACCATCTCTTTACAAAGCCAGGTCTGAGAATAGGAATCTCATTGTCCTAGATAGAAAGTTTTCAAAGAAGTAGCAGGACTTGCCGTGAGGTTTTTTTCCATCAGAATTAGAGTGGAGTAGCAAAGTGGGAGAGAACATGAGGTGACTTCCACATAGCTAGCGAGTTTGGCATATGACTAGTTACAAATCTACTGGATCCATCTTAGTCTTCCTTTGCACAGCTAGCACTTTGTTTCTCACTCTCAGTAAATATAACATCGGGAAGGAATATACTGCCTTTTCATTCCCTGTTAAGGGAATTGCCAAAAGCGAGCCACTTCCTGCTGCTCTAGAGATAGTGAATTGTGGAGTGCTTAGAACCACTAAAATGGCTACTGGAGCCAGGGGTCTGACTCATTTAAATGATATCTTCTCTTCATAAAGATATTGTGACTAAAATCTAAAGGGCAGATGCCACTTTCTGGGAAACAGGAAACCATCTTTTAAAGTGATTTTTTAAAAGATCCTGAGACTGTTACATTCCAAGCTGAAAAGCATCTTTGGATCATATTTTTTGCTTAATATTTCACTCTCTGGCCCAATAAATGGTGGAAGACTTTGGGAGTAAACTTACTGTCAAGAAGATAACAGGAAGCTGTTAGGTGTTATTGTTGTTTTTTCATGTTTGGTTCTTCTTTACCCCGTTTGGGATTTTCTTGGCAAAGATATTGGAGTGGTTTGCCATTTCCTTCTTCATTTTACAAATGAGGAAACTGAGGCAAACTGGGTTAAATGACTTGCAGCACACAGTAAGTATCTGAGGAAGATTTGAACTTCCTGACCAGAGGCCCAGCACTCTATCTACTGTGCCACCTACCTGCCTAGGTGCCACTACTATAGTATATTTTAAAGCCCCTCTGATTTAGAATTAACTGCATGTATTTGTCTGGTTTCATTAGAATGGTGCTTTGAAATTGACACCATCAACCTGATGTTGCCAAGATCTACCTTGTGTAATCTGAATTAGTCAGCTGGGCTTCAAAACTATAGAGACCACTTCTAATTCTGAAGCAATAGTACCAGTCCACAGGGCCCATGGAATGCAAAATTAGGAAGTGACTTATGGCCATCCACTTTTCCAGAGAATCTAAGAATCAGGTCACCAACAGTAGGTTTCTTGAGAATTCTAAAAGGAAAATAACACAATGGTGGTCTGTCCTTGGTTTCCTATTTTGATTTTTTAAAATACTCTTTAACTTTATGATTCATTCAAGGATTTTTGTCTGGATCAGACACTTTGCTGTCTTCTGTTCAACTTCCTGACAATTAAAAACAGAAGTGGTGCATCCTCTGCACCGTAGGTGGGAGGTGGCTATTATCTTTCAAGGTCTGAGGATGTTAGTTTGTTTGTTTTTTTACTCTATAGCCTGACTGGAGAACAGATACATTGAATTATTACTCTTAAATCTGAACTTGCTAAAACCTCAGAAGACTTTATGGTTCCTAGCGTATTGAGATGAGGGGTAGAAGGGAGGGAGAAGAAACTGAGAACTTGAACTGGGAGAATGAAGAGAAGGTTTCCATCTAAATCTGAACGTTTTGGTTTCTATATAGTCCTGCAGGGCACTTTAGAGAGCACTGCATTTGGAGTCATGGGACCTGGATTCAATCCCACCTCTGTCACTCATAGGCTGGCTATCCTTGGGCAAGTCTCTAAACCTCTCTGTTTCAGTTTCCTCATTTTTGAAATGAGGGAGTCGGGCTCCAAAACCTGGTGCATCTCTGGTTCCTTCCAGTTTTAGGCTATGATCCTATGATCCTGCCGCAGAACTATGCCTTGTCTAATAGATTGCACTCAGCCATTCTCCCAAATAGGTCAATTCACTGTATGGCCAAAAGTCACAATTCTTGGAGGCCTGGGAGGGTCTTTGGCTTCAAAATCTATCATGTATAAACATAGAAGCAAATGTCTACACCAGCCTGTTCTGCGCCATCACCTCTGACACAAGGACCTGAGAATAGTCAGACAACAAGGAGTAGTCAGAGAATGTTCTGGTACACACACACACACACACACACACACACACACACACAGAGAGAGAAGAGAGAGAGAGAGAGAGAGAGAGAGAGCCAAAACAAGTGCTTATTCGACTTCTTCTGTGTGAGACACTTTAAAAAAGGGAAAGTTACCAAAATACATGTACGCTAAATGAAGCACGTTGCCCATAAAATCTTAGGAATGCTATTATAAGTGTAAAGATAGAGTGATTGATTTACTCAACCTCATTCCACTTAGAGTAAGTGATAAGATGCCCAATCAATCAATCTCATATTCCAACTATGGAAATGTCCTTCAAATTATAGTGATATTGTACAAAGATCATGTTTGGATAAGCTGAGGAAATCTGGCTACAATTCAGAGATTAGCTTTAAATTTATCTAGTAATTGAGAAGTGATGGAGTCCAGAAATTGGAGTGATTGTGATTTTCCAGTGTACCTCTGAGGAGGAACTACCTGTGTGCCAAAGGGAGGTCTAGACTTTGGCTCTCTTTCCTCACCATCCACCCTGGCCAGAGGAGGACTTCGTGAGTTTTGAATGGGTCTGGAGAATTTTGGATCTCCTATCTTTCCATAGCTCACCTAGTCACATCTCTGAATTAGCTTGGGAGCCAATGATAAATGAATACAGCTTCATCTTGCTTAAGGGGAATGTCTTGAATACCTTTTAAAATGGGAGAAAAGGACTTCCAGCAAACAGAAGCTGTGAGTTGCTCCTTTTTTACCATCTGGGATCTTTAAGATTCAACCCATTTTCCTTTTTACCTTCTGTCTACTTGTAGGAGAATGTGTCACCGATTTTTGGAGGGAAGGGGTGTCTTACACTATTTTTAGTATACTATCTTTGTGTAACACTAGAGAAGTCCTATATTCTCCTAGCTGTTGGCTTCAGCTTCAAAGGAGAGAGGACCCCTGATTTCAGTCCCCACCTGCCACTCATGAAGGCATGCAGCACTGAATAATCAATATTGCTGTATTTGTCCTCACAGCTTGGGGTAAAGCAAAAATCTGGGTTTGAGGAGTAATAGAAAGTTGGTACTTGGGAAGCTAGTACAAACATGAACTTTATTAACATATGGTGCAGCAAGCAGAAAATGCACCTTATATGGCAATACAGAAAGATAGAGGTTCTACCCTACAAATGCAAGAAACTCACCTAGCTTGAAAGGGAGGGAGTCACATTGGAAAAAGAGCACACTCAAAGTTGGAATTCAAACAGGAAAGTTTTATGCACTGAACATTGTTGAGGATAGTCGATGCCATATGTAGGAGAAGGCTTTTCTAATGAGGTCCAGATGTGGTGGGAAAATTCCCAGGGTCACTTATCTATAGCAGGCTTGAGTGGGAGGAGTTTCTTTCTTGGAACCAGAAATTGGTTGAGGATTTGAGGTGACTATCTAAGGCATCAGAAAAGTAGTGACCAAGAGCTTCATTCAGTCAGAAGCTTTGATCATTAACAGCTTGATACAGGGTTAAAATAGGTCAGAATAGTGAAAAAGTACAAAAATATCCATCACTCTATGTTTTATTGGCATTAAGGAAACTTAGCCTAAGTGACTCCATATTGGAGTTCTATAACATCAAATAACATATTTCAAAAATTATAAGTATCGCAAATATCCACCAAAAACAAAAGAATCCCACACATCAGTCTTTAGAGTCAAGAGTTACATTAGTAAATACTCCTTTCTAAAAAACTACTTAAGGCTGATTGACTAAATGATTCTCAATTAATTTTCTTGGGAGAGAAAGAATATTGGTGAGAACTTGATCTGATATCATCAGAGAATCATCCCTAAACCCTCAGGGGTACCTCTAGAAACTTTAGGGGAAGATGTAGCCTAGGGA